AATTATAATGAGCTAGAGACGCGAGAAACGGAAAAGAAATACATAGTAATATAGCAAGAAGGCACTGGGGAAGCTACTACTCCTCAGTGGGAATTCCCCTTGTCCCCCCCAATAGTAAACACCAAATTAAACCTGAATTGTTAAGAATTATAGTGTAAAATTGCCACTTGGATTATCCGATAATATCTTAATAAGATAATACAAAATTAATCAAAGCATTACAAATAGTTTAGCAACGGCTAACAACTGGTGGTTTAGCAACTTATGGTGAATTTGAATTTGCAGAACTTTACCAGTTCATGTAAAATTACCGTTACAATTTGAATATAACTGGTAGTAAACTGATTTTAGAGGAGATGCTTACTCTAAAAAAAGAGCAGGTTTTATTATCAGATTCTATATACAAACTTCTTGTAGAATATTATAATGATACGTATGATTGGAATTTCATATCAATTGCTAAATTAGCAGATGATCCATCTAGTAATTCAATTATTGTATTATCAAATGTGAATCAATTCAGTTATATTAGGATTGTTACTGAAATATTTGGATCAGTACTTGTACCCCAATATCAAAGAAGTTCAAATATATTAGCCAAGTTCGTACAGTCAGATGATAGTATCGATATTTACCTTGATTAGGTACAATTTTATTTTGAACATACAATTGAACTTCTAACTGGTGTCAAGATACATCGACTTGCTTTTGTCAAATGATACTTGTTTGTATGCAATCAGCAAATAAGATTTCATTACTGAATAAATCAAGATAATAAAAGTTGCAATATAGAATTATGGAAACCCAAATTTTATGAATTGTCAAGGGATGCTATTATGCTAGTTTATAATATATACAGTTGATTTTTACTAAGCGAATTTATAGTAGATACTTAGCATCCAACTATTTATATAGCTGTTATACTGATCAATAGATAATTTCATTTGTAAAATTCTTTAAATTTATTTGACTTTCAGAGTTTTTTATTCTTTATTATAATTTAATATAAATCGTTAATTTGCATTTATATTCTATTATTAAATTTTATTAATTTTAACATAAATTGATAATTTGCATATAAGTTATTAAGTAAATATTTGATTTATAATTGAAATTATTATTATTATTATAAATTTTAAAAAAACTAAATCTGAAAAATAATTAACAATTAAGAAATACTGATTGAAATAGAAGTTATTAATAGGGTTAATATTTCCAATTAATACCTGATTAATAAAATACTGATTGTAAACTATTGACAATTCAGATTACTGATTGACTTAATATTGACTAATCAGAAAGATACCCAATTGAACAGTTTTATACTTATGTTATTAAATATGCTAACTTGCTGAATATTTATTTTATAATAATTATAATTTTAATTAGTTTAAAAAAAAATGTTATTTACCTATTCAAATATAAATAAATGATAAATAAAATTAAAATAATTATTTTTAATTTAAAAAAAATTTGTAACAATATTTTTTTAAAAAAAAATATTTAAATAATAAATATTAATATAATAAAAAATATATATATATATATTTTTAATATATTAATTAATTTAAATAATAAAAAAGCTAAATTTGAATAATTAATAAATAATTATTACTTCTTTAAAATAATCAAATTAAATATTAACTTTATCTTGATATATAATAATAAAAATTTAGCTTAATGTTAATTAATCTTTAATTTTTTATATTCATTAATTAATTTTCAAAATTACAAGTAAGGTTGCTTGTCTAAACTCATTTTAAATTTGATAAAATGTTTAAATTATAATTTGCTAATTTTTTACTAAAGTTTAATATAGTTTCGCATTTTTATAAACTTTAATATAGTTTTATTATTTTCAAAATTTCACAGATTTTTTAATAAAATTATAATATAATTTTACTAAATTTTATTTTTTTTTATTTAGATGACTTGTAAACCTTTAAGTTTGTTAATAACCTTAATTATAAATAAATTTATTTATAAATTATTTAAAAAATTTTGCTTTTATTATTCAAAATATAGTAATTAACTTTATACTTTAAGCATTTCAATGCAATATTATTCTGTATTATAATTTGATCAATAAATAAAATTTGTAAATTTGTTTATTACTAATTTTATATTATATAAATATTATTAGTTATATTATTAAAAATAACCTATATTATTATTGAAATTATGCTTTATATTAAAATAGGTTTCATTTTTTAGTTTTATTTAAATTTTATATTATTTATTTTTATTTTAAAAAAAAAAATAATTTATTTAACTATTTAATTTATTATATTTTAAATTAAAATTTATAAGTTTATCCTAGATATTAGAATATATATCAAATAACTTATATTTATCACTAATATTATACTCTTTTGCCTTTAGTTTTTACTATTTATTTTAAGAAATTAGAATTTTTCAATGAAAAATTCTTATTTATTATATTTTATTTGTCATATTATCATTATATTAGTAATTTTTTTAATTTTTAATACTAGTAAAAAGTAATATTAATATTAGCTATATTATGTGACTTATATCCAAACACTTGTATGTAAATTAAAAATTGTTTTTTAAATAATATAATATAATTAGAAAACAGAGACTATTGTAAATCCTAAGTAAATTATTGAACAAAAATTACGTAGTAGATTGAGAAATGTTCATATGATCAAAATTTACTTAATATATAGAAATATATAATTCTTTGCTTCGCATAGAACAATAAAATTGAATATAATAATAATATTATTATTTATATATTTTATTATAAAAATTAAATTAAATAAAAAAATTCATATTAATATTTATATCTAATTTAATAAAAAATTTTTAAACTTATAATTTATTACTAATTTATTATAAATTTTAAAGTTAAAGCTTAAAAATATTAATAAAATTACTACTTTATAAAATATTATATTAATTATAAAATTGTTTATTTATTAAAATTTTTATAAATCTTTTTTAAATGTATAATTAAATATTTTTAATAATATTATAATATTAATTTATTAATGTAAATATAATATATAAATTTTTTATTTATATTTTTAAAAATAAAATATATAATAAATTTGATATATCAGAATCCTGATAAATTAAAATTAAGTCTATATTAAAACTTTTTTTTAAAATTAAATTATATATTAAAATAAATTTAATATAATAGAATTTATTAATAAAGTTTTAATATTCACTATAATAAAACAATTTTAATCTAGCTATAGTAAAAATAGTTTAATATATTATATTACATAATTTTATATTGTTAAATGGAATAACTCCTGAACTAATAATTAACATTTTAATAGAAATAATATTATTAGAACTGTTTTGATAAGAGCTTTTCAATGAATATAAGCTCAACCTGATTGGACTAATATTTAGTGAGATATTTCAAAATGAATATCAAGTATAATTTTATAAATCATTATCATATGGAGCCATAATTTCTTAACGCGAATTAGCGATTGACTGGGTAAAATTACAAATAATAAAAATGATGATAATAATAATAACATCATTAATGAAGTTAAATATGTTGAAAAAACTCTTTCTCACTTTTTACAATACCCAAAAATTTAGAAAAAAACAAAAACTTATTTTTTAAATAAACTTTTATTTTTTTATCAAAATTTTAACCATACAATATGTCTCTTAATATTTTTAAATACCTTTTTACTAAAGAAGTTTTAGACTTTTAAAAACTGAAAATTATATTATGCTAGAACTTAAAAAAAGAGATTTTATCATTATAGAATTTCTCTCATATGAAACACCAGAAGTTTTCTAACTTGTCAGGAAATTAAATAAAGAATATATTAAAGCCTTTTCAGCAGAATGTTTTGCTCAAGAAATCTTTCTCAACAATAACTTTATAGATAACCTTATGAGGTCTTATATTTACAATATTCATAAAATTAAAATGAGCGATAATAGAATACACAAAACAGAAAGTATCATCTTACATACAATTGAAACTGCTTTTCCCTTTAAGAATAATGATGATATTATTTTAACTATCAATGAAGAAAAATTAAATTTACAAATGGATACACTTAATGATAATGACATACTTATAGATATAAATATAACAATAGATAATAATCTCACTTTGTCTTTAGTTTTTTCTAATACATAACAACCTTTACTTAAAATCATAACAATCCTTCACTGGAAGAACAAAACAAACTGAATAACAAATAATCTTATGTATCAGTTATATAACAATCTAAAAATAACTTAAATATATCTGTAAATCACAACAATAATAATACTAATATTAATGCGTTATTATACAATCTGATCAACAATAAAACAAATTACAAGTTACATAAAAATGATCTCTATTATACTTTGAAAAACACTTTGCACATGACTCAACCTAATAATAAAGGAAGTATTTTTGTATTACTTTTAGTATTTGCCATATCAGGAAATACTAGAATAGACAAATTAGATTTTATCTCTTTTCTTTTTTCACACAAGCTAGGGTTTATTAATATAGATTAGAAATTTCATAATGGAAATGCTAATATTTTTATAGAATTTAACAATAGAAAATAATTACTAAGCATAATAGATGATGTCTTATTAAATCATTCTGAGTTCCCATTTAATATAATTAATGAAACTCTAATCAATAATTAACATTATAATAATCTCACATATAAGCTCAAGTCTGTTTCTAATAACATTACACAAAAACATATCAATAGAGTCCTTCCTATTTTGGCTTAATCATATCTATTGTTGACTAATATAGAAATAGATATAATTCATCATATGATGTTATCATTTCTTTTGGTAAAATTAAAAAATCTCATCAACTTAATGCAGCTTGAACACATAACATAAATGGACACGTTATTAGATGTGTTCATATAGATACATTAATAGAGAAATTGAAGGATAGAAATAGATACGTAGCTGATTTTAAAGGTTTCAGAAATAAAATATCACCTGCAGAAGCCTTCTGTACTCTTAAGAATATTTAATACAAAATCTTGTTATTTTTATAACAATATTGCTTATACTGCTTTTGCATCTGATGAAGATATAAATTCTACCTATTCACAACAAATTATACATAATAAATACAGATTGGATAGAAGACCTTAAGTTCTTAACTGATCATACATCCAGAATGAATTAACCCAACCATCAGTCATCAATACACTTAGAAATCCTTCTAATAACTATTGAAGTATTAGACATTTTACAGTTAATATTAGAAATATAGAATCAAGTTTGTCAACTCAAAATTATATAATTATTCCATCATCCCTTTCAATATCTTCCTCTAGTTCTAACAAAGAAAAGGAAGAGAGTTTGATTCCAAAATTCCTAATGCATCTTATACTACAACACAACAATAATTTCAATTTATTTGACTTAATTCTAGTTAAACTTTAGTAATTAGACTCAACTAAAACTTATCTGGCTAAATTAGATTCTAAATTTTTTGCTTTTATTAATAATGATAGGCCTATAGCTTGTTATTTATAATATACTTCATATCATATGAATGACAGATAAATAGTATTCCTACTGATAACTGGAATACTTCAGGTCTTAATATAAATGTTACTTCCTTTCTTAATAATTAAGTCTTCTAATTTTATGATAATAGACAGAATAGAATCACATAAATAGACACAAACTTTTCTATTTAAATAACAATTTGAGCAATAATATAATTAAAGGTAATATTCTTATATTTGCTACTCACAATATTAGAGGAATCAATAATGTTACTAATCTTATTAAATCCTTGCAAATAATAGAATATTTCAAACTAAAAAATACAGATTTTGTTAGTCTTAAAGAAATACATCACAAATTCTTAATACTTTATAAATACAAACAAAATCAGCATTTCACTCCATTTTGGAGTCAATCTGATATGATACAATCTTATGCAGAGGTAGCCCTTCTTATATCAAATAAATGGATAAAATACATTGTATCTTCTTTTATATCAGATCCTAGACTTATATTTGAAAGGACATATTAAACTTAGAATTATTAGCTACTATATCCATGTTAATCTTAAAGATTCTAAAAGTAGATATGATAGAAGACTTCTTTAAAGACAAATCTTAGATATGTTAGATAAATGCAATAAACAATAACATCATGTGATTTTTGATGGGAGATTTTAATATAGACATAGATGATTATCATGAATGCTTAAAATTCAATTTAAATTAGGTTGGCATTTTGATCTTGTGAAGGGATTATCACATAAAAATTTCACTGACCTTCAATTAATCAATAATGACACTATACTACCTACCTTCTTTTTACCACAAAGCTTAATCAAAGCTTTCATTTCTAAAAGACTTGATGGAATCTTTATGTTTGTTAGTTTTATAGCTGATTTTCTTTATTGTGACATTTTAAAACCACTTATATATAAGTCTGATCACAAAATAGTTACTACATTTTTTACAAATCCAATTAGAAAATAAGAAGCACATACAAGACATAATAATACTAAAGAAGGAAATTCAATTTTGCTCTGATGAATCAACAAAGATGAAACTTATTTGTAAAAGTTACTGATATACAATTTCAATAACATAAGATGGATAAATTATACTCTCTTTCATCTACTTACTTTAATATGAATTATATATGAGAACAAATTAGAAATGCTATTATGACTGCTGCTACCAAAAATATTCTGTTCAAATGGATTTCTGCTGATTAAAAGATACCTAAGCCAAAAGAACTAGTTACTTTCTATGATCATTTAAAATTACTTAACAAAATAGTCCTCAAAATTTAGATTTGCTAGAGTGAAATTAAAAACTTAGCCTATAGAAGATGAATGGATTGCTGATATAGAAAGCATTAAATACATTTTGAAATCAACTAAACTTTTCCCTATCTTATTATCAGAATTTGTAATTAAACTTAATGTTAAAGAAATGCAGAAATTATTGTTGAAATTGTACCATAACATTAAAGCATTATTTATAATAGAAGAGGAAAAGATTTCAAAATAATAAATTAAATACTTCATTGATCAATGTTGTTTACACTATAAGTTACATTCTGGTAAAATGATTCAATCAGCTTTAGGATGATCAAAGAAAGCATCATATTAAATCAATTAATCATTAAAGATATCGAAGGACAATATACTCTAATTAGTGATTCTCACTTAATCAAGTAACATATCAATACTCATTTTTAAAATTATATAATTTCTGATACACCTACTACTCCTTTATTTAAACGATGAATCAGGTAATATTAACCAAAAATTATATAGATAAGAAATAGTTCAATAATATTATGCAACCATCCACTATAGAAGAATGGTCCTCTATCATTTTTCAGTTTCCTAATAATAAGATTGCTGATCCATCAGGAATACATAATGAAATGATCAAATATCTAGGTTATAACATGCAACATTTCCTTTGAAAACTCATTAAAATGTATTTTGATCTTAGTAATATCCTATCAGAATAGAAGATAGCTCATATTTATCCAATTCCTAAACCTGTAGATTAGGATTGTAATAACATGAAAACTCATCTAATCACCTTATTAGAAATCATTAGGAAAGCTTTCGTTAAAATTATCACAAATCGTCTCTCTAAAGCTCTAGCTAAACATAATATTCTTAAAGAAAATAATTATGCTAGTTTCTCTGAAGGCTCAACAGAGAACCTAATAAAAATCATGAACATGATTATAGAAGTCACTATTGAAAACAAAAAAAACTTATGGATTCTTTTGCAAGACTTATCTAAAGCTTATGATAGAATAGATCTTAATATGCTTAAACTTGCTTTTAGAAGAATCAAAATCTCAGAAAAATGTATATCTGTCTTATCAATTTATTTACAAATAGAAGGAATACTATTTTTACTCAAGATGATCTTTCTAATTATTATGATGTAAAGATAGATATTGATCAAGGAGAAGTTATATTACCCCTCTTATGGTGTATATATTTTGATCCTCTTCTTTGTGAAATAGATAGCATTAAAAAAGGATATACTATATAACACTCTTGGGTCTTTAATATCAGGAATATAAAAACTTCAATGCTTTTAGCATAAGTCTCGCTCTAGGATATATGGATGATTCAAACTGATTAGCACATTCAAAAAAAGATTTAGAAGAGATATTAGATATTGCAGATGAATTCTATTTTATAACTAAAGCTGTCATCAACAAATCAAAATCACAATTACTTACAAATACTACTATATTTTCATAACTGATATCTATTAAATTTAGATCTTTTTACAACCAGAGAACGGGCAAGAGTTTGGAAGCTTTTTTCTATACAAAGTCTATGGTAAGTATGGCCCTAGTTCTAGAATATCAATATCTCTGACATCTTTCTCTTCAAGATTTTTAAGTATTTTATATCCAAAGATTTTAAGATTAGTAAAAAAAGATAGTGACACATTACTTTGCTCTGAACCTGACATGATGGATATATTACTAGCTTTTGTCATTACTTTTACCAATATTATTTATACAGTCATTTTTATAGCACTTGTAATTTTTGCAAAAAAAAACATTTTCCAGATTTTCATCAGCAATTTCATACCACAGTTTGTCATTCATTACCCTCTTGCAAATTACAGCGATTAGCATCTCATGTGGATAGATGATTTTTCTGGAACTGGAAATAAAGTTTATATGACACATTACTTCTGATAGCAACTTTATTAAGGAAAAAAATCTTTTATTAATATGGCATGACTTACTACGTAAAAATAAATACAAAGCTCAGGATTATACTTGCAATATATTATATCTATTTTAATATACATGATTAATTTTTTTAAACGATAAACATACATGATCTATTCTTTAGATTGAATGATAGATCAAGATTAGTAACTATACATATTGATGATTTCAGAAATTTCATCATTTTTCGTGAACTCTGATTTTAGCTCTAGGTTGTGATCAGATTCAGGGCTGGATTCCTCAGATTCTGTATCGCTTATAGTGTAATTATCTCCTGCATCAAGACGGTCTGATTTTTGTCTCATTGCGATTCTTGAAAGCAGTTTAAGATATTCAGATGTTGATTTCTTATCACTATGAATTCTGGAAGCATATTTAACTTCATATTCCCTTAATTTTTCAGGTATAGCTCTATAAGGCTCTTGTTTTAAAAATTCATTAAATGACCAAGTATTATGTGTTTCACTTTCAGTATAAATAGGATCATGTAACTTTTCTGCCTTGATTGCATTCTAGATCTAGGTGAGTAATTCCCTGACACATTCTGGATATGAGCTAACCTATTCTGATATTAGAATTTATAGCACGTATAGCAGATTTTATGACTATGCCTAATGTGAAAGTAAAAAAACTCCTTTAATCAAAGATCTTTAGAAGGAAAAGCTTTCCACTGTTTCCCTATCATAGCTCCTGCAAAATGGTTAGATTATTTCTCACAATACCAAAGGTATAAGAAAAGGCTGAAGTATTATTTGTCCTACTCTATAAAATCAAAGAGTTCCTAAATATTGTTATTTGTTTTTGATTTATATGGTGGAAGTTCTAGAGTGTCTTTATCTTTGAAACCAGTACCGTTATATGGTTGGTGATTAATTTTGTATTGTTAACATGTAATTCTTGTGAACTACGACTGTTAAATGGGTGTTTGAGCAGTTTATTCTTTTTAATTGAGCAGTAATCTTTCAACAGTTTACAAATTTTAACGAGACGGTTTATCAAAGTCTTTATATTATCACAATGAGTTATGATTCAACAGATTACTAGTAGTGTGTATTTGTAAATATTGTATTTATTCACGAATAAAATAATAATAAAGAAGAAGAAAAGTAAAAGAAAATAAAGAAGAAAAATAAGAAAGAAAAAAAACGAAATACTAAAACTAAAAGGTGATGTGGTAGGCCAGTTGCCTCTAAAACTACTAAAACTATCTTGCCAAATTCCTATCTGTCTTTCTTTTACATGAACTAAAAGCTACTTATTTATATAAAATAAAATATATAGAAAAATATAACTAACATGTCTAATATATCAACTATATTTAATATATCAACTATGTCAACTATGTCAATTATGTCAAATATGTCTGATATATCATATATGTCAGTTATGTTAAATCGGTCAATCTTTTGCACTACATGAGCTGTGTCATATTTATCCATTCATATTACTCCTCGCTTAAGATTTCTGCTCCTGCAGAATATCAAGAGTCTTCAGTATGAGAGCTTGATATTCGCTAGACTTCAGTTGTCAAATCATAGTCAAGGTTAAACATTGAGTATTGAATATTCATTAGACTTCTAAGTTTTCAAAAAGATGATAAACTCGAATAGCAGTTTGGTAATAATGTTTGGTTATCATTGCCATTTGTAACGTTCATTGCGCTGGTGAAATGGTCATATCGTCAATAAGTTGACCTAAATAAAATGCATTAATCAGAGATAAAATACGGTTCCTCATATGAGTAGAATGAAGTAGAGTGCGATAAGTAGATTGTACTTTCTGAGCTAAGGATGCGTCAACTGAGTATGATGGTTCCATTGGTTGGATTTCTTCTTCAAGAGGAGTTGCAGAAATTTGAATTTCTTTTAAAACTATTTCTAAGTTCGTAGGTTTTATTATAGTTTTCATATTATTTTAGTTAAACGATAGTCTACTTTTTTTTATAATGGTTCTAATGTCGATCATTATTTGATAATAATTTGTGGTTCCCAATCAATTCGTTCCAGATATAGTTTTAAAAGATCTGCATGTATAGGATTCTTTCTAACTCATTCATCCATTGTATGAAGTTTATAAGTTCCAGGTCTCACAATGTCGTGTATATAGAAGGTCTATCGAATTTATCTTTAAATTTGTCTTCATGAATGTGCAACTGTGTAACATTAAATAATAAAACTTTATCTCCAATTTGGTAAGAAATTCCAGATTGATCCTTATTGTAACGTTTTTGTTGCTTTTGTTGTCATTGCATAATGTTCTGTTGCGTATCTAATCGTCATTGTTGCAACTATGATGAGATTATCTGTTGATGCTTTTCTATAACATTTGATAAGTTCGTGATAGGTGATAGTCATCGTAATTGTAAATCTATCAGTAAAACTGCTTTTCATCCATATAACAACTCAAATGGTTTAAATTTTGTTATTTCTTGCTATGCGGTTCGATATGCGAATAGTGCTGAGGTTAAATAAGTATCCCATTCTTCTTGATGTTGTTTAGCATACTTGGCTAAAATTGTATACAAAGTTCTATTAAAGCATTCAGTAAGGCCATTGGTCTGAGGGTGGTATGGTGAAGATAATCTATGTTTAGTTTCTACTACATGTAACAAAGCAGTGACTAATTCATTTTGAAATGACGTAACTCAGTCAGTCAATATCTCTTTTGACGTTTCATGTTGACATATAATTTTATTGTAAATAAATTGTGCAGTTGTCTGAGCAGTACAATCTGGTGTTGCACTAGCTTCAACCCATTTTGTCAAATATTCAGTTGCTACAATAATATACCTATTTCCTTTTGTTATACGTAGGAGTAGTCCTACATAGTCTATTCCAATAATTATCCAACAGGTATAGGGTGCAATAGTTCTTTGGGTTTTAGTCTTCCTTGTCATTGACATACATCACATATTTGTATCCAATTATCAATTGTTTTATACATACTAGGCCAGTAATATCAAGAGGCAATTTTGTTGTAAGTGATATCACATGCTAAATGTTATCCTAAAGGCTCATTATGAATATTATGTAGAATGCTTTCATCTTCATCAGTTTTGATTACGAGTAATGGTTAAGCTAGTTGCTTTTGATTACGTCTATAAAGTTGTTAGTTTTGTACGAAATAATGTTGAGCTTGTTTTTGAATAATATATTGTTGTGAAAGGGTAAGGTTTGAGGGGTATGTAAGTTAAGTTAGGTATTAATACAGTTGATGGTAGGTTTTAGGTTCCATGTTATAGAGCTGTTAGTCATACTGCTAACACTTTTGCTTTCACTCTCAAATTTTGTTAGAATAGTTGTGATTATTGTGGGGAAAGTCGAGACAGTGCGTTAGCGTTTGAATGTAATTTTCCCTTTTTGTATCGAATTTGATATGGAAACTCCATAATGCGAATGATCTATCTCATAAATTTACAAGGAGGATCAGGTTTGTTAAAAAGCCATTGTAGAGCTGCGTGGTCAGTGATCAATTCAAATTGCTGGTGTAAAAGATAAGGTCAGAAATATTCCATTCCCCATACAGTGGCAAGACATTCCAATTCAGTTAGAGCATAATTTCTTTCAGCCTGACTTATACTCTGACTGGCATAAGCTATGATACATTTCTTATTATTATTATATAGTTGTACTAATACTGTGCCAAGACCTATATACGAGCCATCAGTAAAGAGTAAAAACTTTCGTTTGAAATCAGGATAAATCAAGATTAGTACAGTTATCAAGCATGTTTTCAGATGTTCAAAAGCCTTTTGTTGTGATTCCGTCCATACATAAGGTGTGTCCTTTCGTAACAATAAATATAATAGTGTAGCAGATGTTAAGAAGTCTTGAATAAATCTTTTATAATACGATGCTAGTCTTAGAAATCCTCTTAATTCAGTGATATTCTTTGGGGTTAGAAAGTTCTTAATTTTATCAATTTTGGAAGGATCTGGTGAGATTCCTTGTCCGCTTACTATGTGCCCTAAAAATGCTAATTCTAATTTTGCGAACTCATATTTATCTTTTCTGAGTTTAAGTCCAGTATCCTTCAATCATTTAAAAATAAACTGCAAGTATTGTAAATGCTTGTCAAAAGTATCGAAAAAGATAATAATGTCATCCAGATATATAGTTATGAACTGTCCAATTTCTTCCCTAAAGATCTTATTCATTAGATGTTGAAAAGTCACAGGATATTCGTTAACCCAAATGGCATTACTTTGAATTCATAAAGTCCTTGACTAGTTATGAAAGCTGTTTTAGCTTAGTCATTTGAATCCATAGTGATCTGCTAATATCCACTAGCAAAGTCTAGTGTTGAAAAATATTTAGCTTTTCCAAACATATCAAGCAACTCGTTGATTCGTGTAAAGGATGTCTATTTCGTTGGGTGACACTATTAAGTTTCTGGTAATCAACACAAAATCGTAATTTTCCATTTTTCTTTCGAACAAGAATAACAGGTGAGGCTCAAGGACTTTCGGATAGTTGTATCAAATTGTATTTCAACATTCTATCAACTTTTTCCTTGATAAATTCCTATTCTAATGGAGCTACCCTGTATGCACGTTGTCATATAGGCATTGGATTTTCTACCAGTATATGATGTTTTTTGATTATTATATGCTCTAACTGTGATAAGTCTTTAGCAAATGCATCTTTATATTTATATAAAAATTGCGTAATTTGTTGCTGTTAGAATTCATCGAGATGTTTATAGGTTATTCCACTAGTGGGCAGTTCATCTGGAATATTTCGTAATAGTTGCCAGTGACCCCATTCCCTTTTACAAAGTTGGCAAGTTTCATCAATTTTATCTAATTTGTTATGACACCAACATCGATTTTCCAGTTCTTGCCAATAATATTTCCACTTCACATCCTTGGGTGGTTGTATATTGAATTTTTGATTTAAACTTTCAAAATATTAGGATGAATATTTCTATCCATCTACCAAAGTTTGTTTTGAACCACTTTTGGCCAAAGGGATAGAGTCATTGTGGTCTTCTAATATCATATAATGTTGTTAAGCTATTAATTCCTTATCTTTATATTCTTCATCAGAGGGTTTTTGATAATATCGACGGGTTGTTGAAAATGATCAAACTGTGGTTTTTCTCAACAAGTCATAGAAATCTGGTATTCTTCGTTATTTCAGAAAAATGTAAATTTTTGACAGTCTCAATAAAGCCATCCTCGATATTTAGTGAGCCAATTATTTCCTGCCACTATATAATAATCGTTTGATTCTGTAATATTAACATTAATAGAAATTTCTATACCATTTATCTGCAAAGGAATATTAGTTACTAGCCCTAACGGTCATGATCGTCCTCCTTGTATATTAATCATGGTAATAGTAGAAGCTGACTCAATATTTCGTCTTAAATGTTGTAAGAAGGATTTAGACATTACACTTCCAGCTGATCCTAAATCTAATATTAAATATATAGGTTTATTGTCAACAGTAGCATTACAATAAACTGCTTCTATGGCCTTTGGTAATTCTGAGGGGTTTATTTTTTTAATAATACTCTCACCCTCTGGAGGTACCGTCAATAGTTTAAAGACTGTAATGAAGAGGCAAATGCACTCTAATTATTCGTTGGTGGTGGGTTTAGAATAGAGAAGGTCATGGAGGTTTGTAGTACTAGAATAAAGCTTATATTATACATTGGTGTAGTTTGTGATAGTGCAGCACGTTGTCTATTGTTAAAGCCAGGTAGTACATTGATATTTCCTCTAATATTTTCAACAGGATTATTTATATTCTTAGTTGAGTATACATATCCCCAGTGTTCAAATTGGCTACAGTGTGGGTAAGGTCCTCTTGGCGGATTATTACAATTCCTGGAAATATGTCCCTTTTGGTGGCAATTATGGCAAGTGATTCCTGTATTAGTCCTATTATTATACCAATTGTTCCCACTATTATTTTGATTTTCTTGATTATTTCTTTGCCTACAGTCACGAGCAATATGTTCAGGTCATTCACAGTTATAGCAACTTTGATTATTTCGATTGCTATTGTTATTATTATTACTATTATTATTATTCGTATTGGCTGGATGTGTATTGATATTTTGAGTGCGTGGCGTAGTATTTGAGGTCGTTAGCAATTGTTTGACTTCTTTTAACAATTTTTCATTATTTTTGTCGATAATTTGTTGAATGTCTGGAATAGCAATAGAGTCCTCATCAATATCATTATCCTTTTGGTTCAAATATGATTTACTTAAAGAATATCCAGAGAGGGTACTATCTTTAGATAATACTGCTTTGATAGCTTATGCTTGATTAATTGCTTCTTCTAAGTCATGAGGTGCAGCTGCAGCAATAGCAGTATGAAACTCTGGGTGAAACCCTTATAGAAACTGTTCAATCTTTTCATCTTCAGGTGTATTGTAATCAGGGTCTAATTTGAGATATAATGACTTAACGTCAGCGGCATAATCCTCAACTGACTGTCCAAGATGCTGCTTGCATCATCAAAGGGCTGAACGCCATTGTGTTCTTCAGTACATTGTACAGTAATGCTTTAAAAAATGATAGATAAAAAAGCGATGTTTATGCTGCCGATCAGTCAAATTATCCCAGTATCGTAAATCTTTTTCATTTTTAGTTTTATTATACCAAGTGAGAGCTGATCCTTTCAAAAATAATGGGATTAATATAAGGCGTCGTCTGTCAGAAATTCTATTCGCATCTCTAGCATTATTATACTTTTCTAACTAATCACGAAGGTCCTGATCTCCACCCTTAAAAGTTGGCAAATCTACGAATTTCGCCTTCTGTTATCCACTAAATCTGACAGTTTTAAAGACAATTTGTAACCCTTTCATCATTTGGAAGAAGTTTTGTTCTTCGTTGTCCCTAGTATTATCAGTATCAAAAGGATTTTCACTGTCATCCTCTGAGTCACTATCTTCTAAACTAGAACTAGAGGAAGAAGAAGAACTATTATAATAAGAAGGAGAGCGACGGTTCTTGACCTTACTAGTTTTCTTAAACCTAAGTTTTTTGCCTTTAATTTGATCCTTGGAATGGTGACTCTTTGGTTTAGAACGCAGCGGACTGAGACTTTTATGTTTCGAGTCACCTTTCTTACTTTCTGACTCTGATTCAGATAACCCTTCAGTATTCTCATAAGAACCAAAGGTTAAGATATTGCTTCCTGAAGGTGACGGATTGGATTTTTCACTTGGGGTAGTATCGACAAATAAAGTGTTATCAGACACATATGCTGATCAAGGAGGTTGATTTTTCTCTTCAGAAGTCAATGCGACTGTTGTACTGCTTCTGCGAGTTATTAGTTCCTTAGGTCCTATTTTAAATTTATTCCGGTTTAATACTGAAAGGATGTATGATAAGCTAATGTATTTAGTTAAGTCTGTAGGAGAAGGTAAAGAGAAAGCAGTAGTGTCGTGGTGTACTTGAACAACTAGTTGAAGGGCTTGAGCAAAAGTATGCAGAGGTTGCTTATTGTAAACAAGAGCTTGAAAAGTTTGATTATAAAAATATCGTTGAAATTCAACAGTAGTAGCAGATTGAGCTATTTGAAAGTTTTCAATGGTTTTCCCAGTATATTATCGTGCGTCCAAGATAAATTTAGTCCACTCAAAGAAAGATTGGAATGAGGTTATTAGAGTCAATGGTAGAGGTGCTGGATGGTAGATAATACACGAAAGGTCTGGTATTAGAATAGTTATGACTATATTACGTTTTTTCTGAAGGTGTTATTGCTAGTGTCTTCTTTGGTAATTAAATATGTCTTCAAATGAACTCATGTAGTGTTTCTCATATGTTATTACTACGCTAATTAGAAGAGGATAGTCCTGTCATCATCGCTAAATGTTAACATGTAATTCTTGCGAACTACGATTGTTAGACGGGGTGTTCGAGCAGTTTATTCTTTTTAATTGAGCAGTAATCTTTCAACAGTTTACAAGTTTTAACGCAGACGGTTTATCAAAGTCTTTATATTATCACAACGAGTTACAATTCAACAGATTACTAATAGTGTGTATTTGTAAATATTGTATTTATTCACGAATAAAATAATAATAAAGAATAAGAAAAGTAAAAGAAAATAAAGAAGAAAAATAAGAAAGAAAAGAAACAAAATACTAAAACTAAAAGGTGACGCAGTAGGCCAGTTGCCTCTAAAACTACTAAAATTATCTTGCAAAATTCCTATCTGTCTCTCTTTTATATGAATTAAAAGCTACTTATTTATATAAAATAAAATACATAGAAAAATATAACTAACATGTCTAATATATCAACTATATCTAATATATTAACTATGTCAACTATGTCAACTATGTCAAATATGTCTAACATATCATATATGTCAGTTATGTTAAATCGGTCAATCTTCTGCACCACATAAGCTGCGTCACATTTATCCGTTCACAGTATAAATATTTCTAAACTTGTTTTTCTCTGAAACCTATTTTTTGACTACTTTTAATAGTATATTCACACCCAGTATTGTCATAGGATATTGATAGAATACTGATGAGATGCTGATGGGACATAGATGGGACAGATAGAACCTTTGAAACATAGTGCAGGACAGGTTGAGATATATAGCTAGGACAACAAATCTCTGGAATATCAAAAATGTACATCACTGGTCACATCAATTGCCAGCGATTGCATTAATTGCTTTTACAACTGATTTACAGTATGATTTTTCTTTTGCACGAAACTTAAAACAATAAAGATTGGTTTCAAATTTCTATAAACTTTTTACAAGACTGCATAAATGATTCTAATGCAGTATTGTCAGAAAGAGTACACTTGTCATCAATATCAGTAAAGCCTAGTATTTGAAAATGCTTCTGAGCTTTAGGCGAACTAAAATTTTCAACAAATTTTCTATTGCAAATATTATTCCAATCTTTAATACTCATATCTTTGCAATAAAGATTCTGTATATAAAAACGTTTAAGTGTCATAGTATTTGCGATACAACACTCTTGATCGAATTTAAGAACTTCAGCTTCTTTAGAACTAAGATTCTGAAAAGTAGCAACTGTGTTAAAATCTGTATTCTTGATAACTAATACTTTAACCCTAATCTCACTATGAATCCTTTTGTGATTCTCTATAACTTCTTGACTCTCATCCATTTTTATAAGTTGGAAAGAAGCGCCTGTACTGACTATAAGGCTACAAAGCTTTTCAATAAAATATCTTTCAGAAAACTGTTTTTGATACTCAACTTCAATGAAAGTTATTACAGCTGGAGATCCATCAATTTTATAAGAAATAGTATTATTATTTCATTCACAATATTCCTTTATTGCTGTAAGTAAATTATTAGGCCGAGCACTTGCAAGTTCTGTCTGAATATTTTCATGACTGGTAGGCAAAAAAGCTCATTAGAATTTTTCTGATAGAATAGGAAAATAATACGACGAGAACAGTCACAAATTCAATAAAGCATTTATGCAAGAGCTTCAACATGAACTGGAGTGACAATGTTTGTAATAGCTATAATTATATCGAAGTAGCTTGTAACTTTGAATAATATTCTCACCTCTACTGTATAATCTACGTAATCAAGTTCACCCCAAGTGACATTAATATCAGAAAAGTCTCTTTAAAGTTATTTTCCATCTATATCTCCATAATAAGCACAGGCTCTAACAAGCGAATTATCAGACTTAGACAACTTAGATGCTTTTTCTACTAATGCTCTAGCTATTACTGCTCCAGTAGATACAAATGCCACATGTTTATCCTACCTTAAAAGATCATATCCTATTTGCATGGCTTCAGCTCTGCTATTTAGATCATAAATAAATTCAACTGTCTCACCTAATTTTTGCAGAAGAAAATATTCACTGGATCTTTACTAGTAATTACATATCGCATTTTATTATTCATTAATCTCTTACAAATTAATAAAAGTGACGAAGGATTAGCATACACATCTTCAAATCCCATATGCGAAATAATGATTGCTAGAACGCTAAGCTGAAAGAAAAAATATTCATATCTGAATATTGTTTTATTAGTATAATAGTAACATGCTAGAAACATGATGCAAAAAATAAATGCAAATCAAGTAATGTGAATCTATATGCGATTTAAATGTTATACAGCCTTATTCTTTAGCAAGAATTCTATTAACGCATTTCAGGCGATTAATTCTATATGACGGAATTTCTCACCTTGTTCACAGTTACTATTAGGGTTTTATTAAGTCACAGTTGAAAATTTTTTTCAAAAATATTACTTATATAATTTAACTATGAGCTGTGTAAGAAAGGCTTAAAGACTGTCTTTATTTTTTTGATTTTCAATATACACTACCATATCACATAAATCAAAATTGTATGCAGACTAAAAATACTTTATTAATGGTTATGCATTACAGCGACAAATAACTACTGTCTAAATTATTTTACATAAGAAATTACAAATAATTCAACACTATTTTTGTTGTAAATAATAAAGATCGCAATATACAATAAAATAGAATTTCATATCAAAGAAATATTTTCATTCATATCTTCTCCAGTAACAAGTAAAATATCATCATCTGGTAGATGTAACCAATCTCTTAGATTTTCAGTACAATCGCCACCTGGAATAAAGGAACGAATTTTCCTTTGTAATTTTTCTTGTTCTACGAATAACTACAAAAAAATTAAAAATCTTCATGTAATATGTGATAGCATCAAAAGAAAATGGAATTATACAGGAAGCCAACTCAACAGCCAAATATTTTCTTTTGTCTGCTAGAGAAACAGCAAAAAACGTAAGTCAATCTCCTATAACTTGAATGCTGTAAGTTTTAACATTCTTGATGTCTCCAATGTTACAATCAAGATTATTACCAAGGAGTCAATATAAAATACAAATAGCTATCATTAATAGCTTTTTAACATCACCAACTGTGTGTTTTTTCATAGATCTGTAAGGAGGTCCAGACACTTCGACATTCAAAAACTCTCTTGCATCTGACAATCTAAGAATGAGTAAATCTGTTTTTCGCTTCCCAAAATTACTTGTAAACATGATATTTGCCTCTTTTATGGATCTTACATTCTTTTCTATCCACATATATTTTACATCAGAAAATGCTTTGCGAAATGCAAGAAGAATTGGTAATAGAACTTCAACGATATAAGATCATTCAAGCATATCACGATCCAAAACTTTTGGCATCATAAACTTTGAGACAAAGTCTAGTAACGCATATCGTATGAAGAATATAAACCTATCCTCATCTGTCATTTGATTATCATTAATTTTTGTTTCCAAAATTATTTTAGATTCGATTTTAGAATAACTTGATTGAAATATGTTATTGAATATGTTATTAAGCTTTTTGACTATTGAATCATCTATAACCAATTTGTTTCCCATTCGGAGCATACTTATAACTTTTCATACATTTGTTCTCTAATAGTTGCCTTGACAAGATGAATTGTTAAATTGAAAGCACTTATTATATGTGCAGAAGAATATTCATTATAAGTAGCCTTTGTAATAATTGACTTATTAGGCATCCTTATTAAAGTATTTGTGACTGAACGAGTTGGACTTGGACATGGCATGCTTTCACAAGAACTAGAGTCATCACAGACATATATGCTATTATTCTTGATATTTTTCAAAAGTAGGTTAGAATTGGATGATTTATACATATAAACATATTCTGAAAAAAAAATAATTACGATACTTTAGATCTGTCTAAACTTCCCAAATCCAAATTTATGCTTGAATATTCAGTGACTTCCGTCATCAGTAGTGTTAAGTACAGTGTGGCAGATTGCTGAGATTCTGTCATCACCTGTGAATAATAGGTATTACTTTCTCTCCTTATCCTCTTGGGTTCATATTCTAGTTCATCAGATTCGCAATAATTGGGAATATTTCTTTTGTGTCTAGTTTGATATTGTTTTTAATTATGGCAGTAAATTCACGTAAAGTTTGTAAATACAAATAAGACAATATATCAAATCAAAAAAAAGTTATGCAATTAATCAATTTTGAAGAACTAATTATTACTGACTCCTTATAAGATGCTCACTAGACTCATCCAATAAGCACTTTCATGTGAATATTTTTTGTACTGAAAGACACTGATTCTGGGTCTCTATCGATGCATCTAAAACATGTCGAGTCTAAAATGGAATAAACTTTCAGGTATTTTAATCACAAGATTAGGCATAGAGATAATATACTAATCTGTTCGAGACAAATCCAATCCTTCAATTCATCCTTTATTTAAATAACGTTGTTAGAAGATATAGAAAGTGTTGAAAAAACAAAAACCACTCATTTCGAAAAACTTACTTGTTCCTTCTCAAGCAACTCCCTTTTTTCCTCAACCAATTTAAGGTTCATATGAATGTTTTGTTGCTTAATCTGCAGATTCTAAAAACTATTTACTTCCTTTGATTTTTTTTTTCGTCCTTACAAAGATCAAATTAAATGATAATTAATAATCGTCTTGTATATAAAGAAAATGTGATAAAACTCTAGAAACACGACTGATGGATAAGCACGCAACCTTTCCCTGTAAGCACGTAACCCACAAGATAGTCTACCAATACCATATACTAACCAACAAGCACGTAACCTTTCCTACTACTAGCATGCGACTAGTAGGGTAATTGGTGAGTACAGATACTAACATATTATTTATAATACTGCTCACCAACAAGCACGTGACCTTTTCCACTGCTAGCACGCAACCAGCAGGATAGTCGATGACAGTATAACCTAAATAAAATATATTTATCCAAAAATTCCTTAACACCTGTTGTACTTGTTCCCTAATTTCTGGCGCTTTAGCATAATAATTGAGAATAGTATTTAGTTCACCTCTGTATTAACTGTGCTCTATTTTCTCTCGTTCTAAATTGCCTTCTTGTAAATAGAAATCTAAGAAACTCTTAAGTGAAGGTTTCTTCGATTTCTCCCAAAAAGCTATATATTTTCATAAATGATAGGTTAAGCTATAAAGACTGTCAAAAAAAGTTTATTCCTACATTTTTCCTTATTATAGTATCTAAGATCATTGAAATATTCAGGAAATAATTGCATTTTTACTTTTTACGTATATTTGGCGAAAATAATATGTGATAACTTGAAGAAAAAAAATGAGAGATTTATCTATGATTCAAGCCACAAAAAATTTGTAATCACGTGAGGGTAGAAAATTTGGTGAGAAGATCTTTGACATCATGACATCACTAGGTAATAAGCGTGAAGATTCTTTACGATTTATTAATGAATGATGAAAAAAATAAATACAAGTGTAGAACTAGCTTGCTATACATGATAAGCTTTATGATACAATTGTGAACTTGAGTTTATTGCTTGAAGTGTTGCAGGTAAGACAATATTTCAACTTATCTTGGGAATACAATTTCGCTAATTCAGGATATAAGGGAGCTGATTTCCATTTTCGCAATACTATGAGCCATGTAATTCATAATTCCTATGTTTCCATTACAAATAGGGTATGGTGAGCTTCATGGCTGATATGAAACAAAACTATAATTATCAAATCCCCTAAAACTATTTTGGAATTTCAGATATGTGAAATGCTTTAAGATGGACTTGATAATTAATTCTGAATCAGGTTTTACTTCAAAAGTTATAGGCCCTTTTTCTTTACATTGCTTAGAAGAAGATAAAATAGGATACTTTGTTTTCTGACTTTGAATTTATGAGAAGACTGACTTCTGATGCATACACTTCTGATAATTGCCATGGCTCATTTCCAGCTTCTTTTTTATATTTTTTGTATAAGTTAGACTGAATCTTATCCATTAAAATGCTTAGTAATTCAGTTAATTTGGCATGCTAATCCAGATATTCAGAGGTTAATGTTTTATCGAACTTGGTCATATTACCTTATTCTATAATTGTAAATCAATCTAATTAGATAATAGTTGACATGTGTAAAAAATAATAAGACTATGCAATTATCTTAATTTCGGGCTGTTCACACCTAATAAAATAGGATCCAACCTTATATCTACCTTTTATACTTTTCTCATCATTATGATTTAAACTACATAATGGGTAAGTTCTTTTGGGATTGCAAGATGTCTTATCAGTAATACCATAATAGTTGAAATTTTCACTATTAAATTCTTTATATAAAGTAGGATATTGGTCCAATATTTTGTTACGAAAATAGGATCAGTTATAAGTAGTCCTAGGAATTAGTAAACGAGATGTGATAGAAATGTTTACCTTAAGTTTTGAAGATGCATCACCATTGATGGTTTTCAAAGGCACGTGACTCTGATCATTTCCCAAGAAACGATTTTTGAAGTTACTTGATCTATAACATTTTGAATTTGTTCATTAATTAATTTTAAAATCTTATTTGCACTGTAATTGACACACTTAATCTTATCAATCCCTATACCATTCTTTTCAAACAATTTGCGAATTTTTTGGCTCTAAGAGTTTTAATTCACAAAGCAATAGGCGTAATACCAGCCAGACATTTTAACATTTTCTTGTATATTTGAATTCTTGCAGTTTTATCAGTAATTCCTGTCTCATGACGAATTTTAACAACCTTATTTTCAAAATTATCTGAATAATGAACCTAGAACAAAATCTCTTCATGTTCAGCTCATATTGCATTTTGAAATAAATAGATTAGGCTTTGTGTTATAATTTAGCTGTAAGATGTTTCACAAGAGAATGAATACTGCTCACTAATTTTGAAAAGTGAAATATAATACTGTCACTCTGTAAATCTCATATTAAATCAAGTTCTATATTCTGATTTTTAGTGAGCTCGATTTCATCAGAATCGTCAAAATCTTAAATAACTTTTTGCTGATTTTTGAAGTTTTCTCAATTTTTTCTGACTTTTCTGAAACCATCTGATCATTTTTTGAGAAAATAGTTTTGTATTACTTTCAATTTTATCATTTTCTGAGAAAACAGTCAGATTATTTTTTACAGAAGGTAATACTTTAAGGGAAGTTATCTCATGCAGAAGTTTCTCTTTATTGCATCACCTTATTCTATCACTAACACTTTTCTTATGTGCATCATCTAAGAAAGTATCCATTTCTTTATCCACTGATGATTTCTGATTACTTATACAAGATAGTAGAGATTGGTCCTGCTTTCTTTGACTATAGTCAGAAATCGATAGTAAATTATTATCAGATGAAGAATCTTCAGCGAAACACTTTTCAGTACTTTCTGCCTCTACTTTTATTTCTACATTCGAGTATATACAAGAAGATGGGCTGATTGCTTTATAATTGCTTTATTATTATTCTTTGACACTGTCACAGAACTCTGTTTTACTATTGCAAGTCTAGTTTCAAGTTCTGTATTTTTTTGCTCTAGTTCCTTAACTCTAACATCATGCCTAGCATTCTCTTCAATAATTTGCCTCAGCTTTGTGTTTTCAGCCTCAATCTCTGCAACTTTCCTTCTAAGTTCAGGAATCTCAGCATTCTTGCCTTTGATTTCAGCAAACTTCTTCCTGAGTTCAGTAATATCATCTAAGAGTTTAGCATTTATCTTTCTTAATGAATCAATAGATTAAGCATTTGATATTGCAAGCATGCAATCTGAAATAGATGGTCCTGATGAGACTGATTTGTATTAGCTCACATTAAAAAAAGGATTCAAAGAAGTTTTACTTGTGTCAATACTTATACGATAGTCAATTAGAATTAGAAATAATAATGATCTGATCTGGCTGAAAGATGCTTTGCATAGTCCCTATTTATATAATTTCTGTAGGTAAAAAGTTGGTTACTTTTTTTCCACGAATTCTAACATTTCCTGACCATGAGTCATATAATCACAATAAGTACTAAGGTAAATATAGAATATATTAATATAGGCAACATTAAGGAGCTTATGATAATAGGAGCAGTTGCTGGTAAAGATACTGCTTTTACGTCATCTGCAAAAAATATTTGGAAAGATGAAGGATTAAGAGTGAAAAGAATCCCTTCAGGACCATGTTGCAATAAATTATTCATAGGCAGGAATGGAGAATCTACTTCATTATGTAAAGTGCCTCTTGGCTCTTTCTTTAATGTTAACTAATCTCTAAAGGACCTATTTTTCTCCATCAATTTTAATCATTCTGAAGACTGAATATCCAGCTCCCGTTTGTATATATTATCTAATGACTTTATTCCTTTTTTTATACATTCTATTTTATAATTTTTTGAATCTAGATTCTCCTTTACTTGTTTCAATTCAAGCCTGAGAGAATTGATCTCTTTAGAATCAGATAAGTTTATTTGGGCTGGCTTTTTTACCACTTCTCCTATTGCATCTGAATTATGGAACATCTGTTCTAGTTTCAAGTCATCATACTTATCTTCTAATTCTCATACATTAGCTTTAAGAGAGAGAATCTTGACCTTGTTAGTAGACGAAGCTTTCTGAGTTAAAGCTAGTTCTCTTTTTAGTATTTTAATAGAAAATTTGAGCGATTTGATTTTAGTAGTATATTTGGCTTCAAGCTCACTTTTTTTTTAACGATGTGACACTGTCAGTAACTTTATTAAATTTATATATAAAGAAATACAAAGTAAATCAAAAATAAATTTATGCTAAGTACTAGCTATCTCCCGTAGTTATATTGCAAACCCATTTGAATCAACCTATCATTATCTTTCCCTCTATCAACTCCACTAAGTGCATACTTAATGAAGGTTAATATCAGCAAGAAAAGAAGAAGAAGACGTCAGTGCCTATCTAAAAATCTGAAAACGCGTAGCCAAATTTGTTCGCAAGATGTATCTAAGTTTTCCAGTTAAAAGAGGGGCTTGATGTTTGTCTGTGAGACAGGGTGAACTGGCACTGCGTTTACGCTTGTTTTGTTTAGTGATACCCATTGAACGCTCTTTGGCAATTAATAAGTTGCAATGGTGTTTCCAGACATCATCATATAGCATTTAGTGGAAGAGGAGCAGCGAGCGTGAAATGATGGAGAGGTATTGTTCTTTATTGCCAGCAATTTTGTAAACAATATGTATAAGGGAAAATGAAATTCTAGATTGAATGATATCTGTGTAGTCATTAGAAGTATTTAAAGGTGATGCGAAAGTAGTGTTGAATACATCCTCTAATTTAGTTTGGTGTGCTGTGTATTTGGCTCTGTATGAAGAGCTTAGCTGGTCTATAAGATTGTTTTTAGTAGCTGAGATCGTATTCATAATTTTTGAGGAGTACGCTGGACATGTCCAAATATGAAAAGCAGTTTCAGTAGCAATGTTGCAACTCACACAAGGCCAGTGTTCATATAAGTCAGGTCGTAATAATGTGAGGCGCGATAGTGAAGGAAATTCATCGATGAAGTTTTTAATTATAAATGATTTGAGTTTATATGAAGCAAAGGATGTGAAAAGAGAAGAGGTATTCATCGAAAAGAGGTTTCAGATGACGAACCAATTGATAGATTTATTGACTGTGAGTACTTTGAGTTTATCATTCCTGTTCAAATCCAGAAAGTTGCCAAATGCTTGTGTTGCAAAGAGTTGTTTGAGAAAACCTCTGATAGAGACTTCAATAAAAATATTATTAAAGTAGAATGAGAGATCTGATGAAGGAACGTTATTAAGTAACAAGGATAGATGAGGTGTATTGCATCTATCCTTAGCTAATCTATCCACTATTTCGTTATAATAATTTTCAGCGTGTGCTTTGATTTTGTAGAGTGAAACTTAGAAGTTGGGGTGATCAATGATATATCGAATAATAATCCAGATCGTATAATTGAAAACTTTTTCAAGCTTTCTCTGAGAAAGATGATTGGAAAGCACGTATTTGTTAAAACTATGAATTGTTGCCTGGCTATCTAGGTAGATGTCTACTGTTGCGTTATTTGAGGATACTATGAGGACAGTGAGGAGAGCATACATTTTGGCTCGCATGAAAGAGGGCCAATTTGTGAGTGAGGCTTTGAAAGTAAATGAACCGCTATCTAGGTGTAAGCAAATCCAACTAAATTCCATTTTACAGTTATCCGTCTGAGGTCCTCTTAAGGAGCCATCGGTGTAAAATGATAAGGCTATGGTACTAATAAATGTGGATTGCAATTGTTTAAGCTTGGGTGAGTGCATTGATGGTTGAATAAGAAGATCAATGATGTTCTCAGAAAGCGGAATTGTTGAAGAGGAGTTATTGTATGAACTGTGAAAGATCATATTGGTGATATGAGAGATTTCCTAAATGATTGTTTGGGTTGATTCTTGACTGTATGTGATTGCTTAAGAATAATCTGAACTAAATAAGTCAGGGCATTAGGGATATTGATGATGCAACGCCTAGATGAAACGGTCTGTCTACTGAGGGGACTTCAAGCTCACTATTAGCTGTATTTAGCTGACTAAACTTATTGTTAAAACCTGAACAGATACGATTAAAATCCTTCATTTGTTCTAAATATACATCCTGCAAGTTTTTATAATCATTAGCAATATCAGAAGCAGTTTCAATACTACTGTGCAATGCTTTCTCAAGTTCTGATTCACAGATGCTACTAAGCCGATGGCCTGAGAGGATGTGTTTACTTAATGAACCCTTAACCACTCCTCTATTCTCGATATCTTTTAAGATTTGCATATTAGACATAATTTTTTTGGCTTAGTCATTAGTATACTAAAAAATATGAGTGAATTTTTGAGATTACGATCCTAGAAATACTTTTTTTTATGAATATTAGCATATTACTGATACTACAATATTACTGATATTATCATATTACTGATACTACTACTGATACTATTGATACTACAATATTACTGATATTAGTATAGTACTGATAGTATCATATTACCGATACTAGCATAATACTGATATTAGAATAGTATCAATATTTTTTATATATTTTTATTTATAGTGAAAAAAAATCTCTAGCGATTAGTTACTAATATAATCACATCTCAGCTTAAAACACATATTAGTTTTAGGATTAGTTACTTGTTTCTCGCAGATTATAAAGACATTATGCAATATTGTGATATGAAATCCAAACTTTTAGTTCAGTTAAATAAAAAATATAATATATCGAATAGTCGCTTATATCAAATTTGGAGAGGACAAGAGTTTAATAGGATTTAATAGAATGATTTAACAATCACTTTATTTACGAATAATATAGATAAGCAGAATGAGGAGTAGATTCTACTCTGAGCTGAAAGAAATCTTTAAAATAAATATGATTCTGCCTTTACAACACTAAAAAATGAGATACGTAATGCTGAAATTAGCAAATATACTGATTCAGTTTCTGAAGAAAGTGTAGATAGTAAGGCAAAAAAGATCAGAGGAAAGAAGTGATTTCAAGAAATCAAGCAGTACTTAGAACAAAAAAAGAAATTATTTCACCTATTGAATCCTTTGAAGATATCTTAGATTTGTATAAGAAAACTGATAATACTTTAGAAAAAATTAAAGTAAAAGGTCATCCTCTTATTTCTAAATAGTTATTCATCCTATTTAATCTAACTGTGTAAATTATTATAGTATCCTATAATTTTCAAATTTGATTAAATGCTAGAAAATAATGCTATTTCAAGCTCCTTTATACAGACTACCATATCTTCAGAATTCATATAATTTTTGCATTTTTTTTAAGTCCTGCTCTGGTTCCTTTTCTATAGTTAAGACATTGCACTGGGATTTATGAACTGATAGGAAAATAATGATAGTCTTTCCATTTTGGCTTGCCTTAAATTCTCTCTTCACTAAGGGTTCCTATCCTGCATGATATTGCTATTGTGTTTCAAGAATAAATAGTAATAATTCTTTTCCACTATTATCATATTCTGTAAGGATGACAGAGAATTCATCTGAAATAGTATCTCTATTTTTCTCATCCTCAATAGTTACAGAAATACTATTAACTATATTAAGGGAATGGGACTTACTTGCGTTCTTATTAAGTTTGTGAATCTTTTTCTTATCTATTTAGATCTGAATATTTTGCAATATTTTCTGAAATAATTGAGGAGTCTGATCCACTATCAATCATTGCATAAGGTATAGTTATGCTTTTTATCTTACAGGAGATGGTTGCAACATCATCAGCATCCTTTATTTGTAAAAAATTTATCTTTAAGGGTTTGGGCCAATATATTTGTTTATTTTTTTTTAGCTAAACGATATTGAGTATAAGCTTTGATAGTATAATTCAAAATATGTCTGCCCCCTAAGTGGTTATTATCTGGCAAAGATTCTATTTTCATAATATTGTTTGTTTGAGAAGGAGATGGAATATCTAAAAGGGGCTTCTGCTCAATTTTACTACCTGCAATAATAGAAATAAAATCTCTTGAACTTTGCTTGTAACATTCTTCTATGCTATTTCTCTTCTTTAACTGTATTATTTGGCATAACAGTATTCAAGCAATGGTCTTCTAATTTAAGATATATTGTATTAATAAATTTTGAAATTTCTATAAGAATCTCTTTAAAACAATAGGGAACTACTGATAATATTATAGATTTTAAGACTATTTGATACATTTGATCTGTAGCTATGTGAAATGCCTCATAGTTGATTATATTACCTGATGCTTTATTAGCACGAGATTTGAAAATAAGAGATTCCTTATGTGAGTCTTTTTTATAGGTACTACACTTCATATCACATTTTTTTTATAGCATAGCAGTTTTGGTTAGTAATGTTTAGAGCAGATCCGTTATCATCAATACATTCATCACTCTTCTCAATTTCCTCCTCAACTATATATTCTATTTCAGGCTCTTTGGCCTCCTTCTCAAATATATATTCTATTTTAGGTTCTTCAGAGTCATTAGGAACCCTCTTGAGATGA